CCAGAGCCCCTGATGGTGGGGATGGACTTGGAGTACCCCGAGACCAGGTCGCAACTACTGAGCACACCCGTCAGTGGTAGGGGTGTTCGCCAGGGGCTCCAACCAGGGAGAGCCTGATATGAGGGGGTCAGGTGACCCCGATGGGATGGATGGATGGCTGAGCAAGTGCGAAGTCAGACGGGCCGAGTCGGTAACGTAGAGGACGGTATGGTACAAGGGAGCGGGCAGAGAATCGTCAGGTCACACGCCAGGTCAGCAACAGCAGGTCAGATCTAATGAGGGGCATTCAGAAGAGAGATCAGGCAAAGCAAGGGTCTGGGCAGGAGAAATCAGCAGGTCAAGAACAATCCGGGTCAAATAACTTACTAGGTACAGGTACACAGGATACAGGATGCAGGTAAGACCAGAAGGCACTGAATGACAGCTCAGGGCCATTTAAATATCCCGCCATGCGCTGCCATTGGTGCCCAGCGGGCGACCGCGGCTTCTACTTAGCATGCGCGAACTCGAACGCCGCGGCCGGCCCGGACCTAGTGCCCGAGTCCCTGCACAGGGCGGCGCACTGCGCCTGCGCCGGGACCATCGCTGCGGGGATCGAGGAGATCCCTGACAGCATGTCTTTGGAGTGTGGGAGGAAATTGGAGTACTTGGAGGAAACCCAAGCAAGCACAGGGAGAGTATGCAAACTCCATGCAGGAGATGAGGTGCCATGGTCAGGACTCAAACCCATAACCCATTTACTGCAAGGCAGTAAACGTGCTAACCATTAAGCCACTGTGCCGCCCATTAATAATGATGTAAACTGGTAAATGGTGCTAAAAAAAGTTCATATAATCATTCCTGAATAATGGAATGTCCTTCGTGTTTACCTTTCACGAGTTCATGCACTACTGTCCCTCATGGATAAACCGCACGTGCCATTCATAGGCACTCTCTGAGTTGGTACTTTCACACGAAGGACATTGCATTATTCAGGAATGATTATCTGAACTTATTTTAGCACCATTTACCATTTTACATCATTATTGCAATTATTTGCACTTTTTGGATTTTACATGCGTTCATTATTGATCACATGTATTTATAGCACTGCACTATGACTTTAACATAGAATAGTTACATGATTAAAGAGAAGGAAGCTATATCATTATATTGGGAATTTAGAACTAGACATTCCAAATTATTTGAGATATAAGTGTGAAAATGTTTAACATTTGAAAATAGAATGTATGACATTCATTAGTAAATGCATTAGTTGTCTGATCATTTTGGAGAAACCGCAAAAAAAAAAAATTATAGGTGTACTTTTTATTTTACATTCTAAGTATTCTCATATGCAAACAGAAAAACGCCAAATGGGAGAAAGCCCACACTTGTGCGCCACCTGGCGAACATATACAGTATTGCACGTAAAAATGTGCTGCGATTCCACATTTACTAATAGGAAAGTAAACGCTTTTCAATGAGATTGCTAGACGCCTCTCAGAAGACTGACAGGTCTTAATTGATTTAATTGAGTCTGCCTGAATGTTCAGAGTCTGCTGATAGACTCAATTCTTAGTAAATCAGGGCCATAGTGTGAGAAAAGGCCCCCATCCCACAAAATTATCCCTTTTTGGAAAGTAGACACCCCAAACTATTTGCTGAGAGGCATGTTGAGTCAATAGAAGAATTTATTTTTATACCGCAAGTTTTTGGAAAATGACCAAAAAAAATAATTATTTTTTTTTTACACAAAATTGTCACTTAAATGATTTATTGCTCACACATGCCATGGGTATATGTGGAATTACTCCCTAAAATACATTCTGCTACTTGTCCCGAGTATGGGGGTGCCACATGTGAGAGACGTTTTGGCAATGTAGCCAAGTACAGGACTCCAAAATCCAATAAGCACCTTCAGGCTTTTAAAGGGCTTTATTTCCTCATTACACTTCCTGACTGCCTACCACAGTTTCGGAGGCCCTGAAATGCCAGGATAGCACCAAACCCCCGCAAATGACCCCTTTTTGGAAAGTAGACACCCCAAGGAATTTGATAAGAAGCATGGTGAGTATTTTGTAGATCTCATTTGTTGCCACAAGTTTTTGGAAATTAAAGAAATAAAACAAAAACCTATTTTACTTTTCTTTTTTTAATTTCAAAACCTTGTGAGAAAAAATTAGATCTGAAAAATACTCACCATGCCTCTTTTTAAATTCCTTGTGGTATCTACTTTACAAAAAGGGGTAATTTGGGGGGGGGGGGGGGGGTTGGTGCTATCCTGGCATTTCAGGTCCTCCAAAAACTGTGATAGGTAGTGTGGCTAGGCTCCCAAAAAGTCTCACACATGTGGTATCCCCATACTCGGTAGAAGTAGCAGAATGTATTTTGGGGTGTAATTCCACATTTACTCATGGCTTGTGTGAGCAATATATCATTTAAGTGACAACTATGTGTGAAAGAAAAAATGTTTTTGTCATTTTCCAAAAACTTGTGAGAAAATAGTTTTTTCCATGCACTCCATATGCCTCTCAGCAGATAGCTTAGGGTGTCTACTTTCCGAAAAGGGGTCATTTGGGGGTGTTTGCACTGTCCTGGTATTTTAACCTCAAGAAATGTGATAGGCAATCAGAAAATAAAAGCTGTGTTAATTTCCATTATCTATACCATAGTTTATAGACGTTATAACTTTCACACAAAGCAGTCAATATACACTTATTGGGATTTTTTAACTGAAGACATGTAGCAGAATACATTTTGTCCTAAATTTATGACTAACTTTGATTTTACTATATATTTTTTATAGCTGAAAGTAAAAAATATTGTTTTTTTTTTAAAATGTTTTTGTTTATAACGTAAAAAATAAAAAGTGCACAGGTGATCAAATACCACCAAAAGAAAGCTCTATTTGTGTGGAAAAAAGGACGTAAATTTTGTTTTGGTACAGCATTACATGACCGCACAATTACCAGTTGAAATAGTGCAGCACTGAATAGCAAAAAGAGGCCTGGTCAGGAAGTGGGGTCAATTCTCAGGAGGGCAAGTGGTTAATAAATATTATATGGAGGATTTTACACTGTGGGATGTTTGCTTTCATACTCCTTCCTGGGTGCTATAAGGATGGTGATGGGAGAACGATTTTTATGAGGATACTTGGTGTCATTGAAGAGTGTCAGTGGCGCAAGCTCTGTATGACTTCCCTTTATTTAGAGCATAAAGTACTGTTGGTAAGCCTTCATTTATATCTTTAAGGTGATGGTGTTGGTACATGGATTCTTATGTGCTATGGTGGTGGAATATTGATCAACTTATCTCTGTTTGCAATTTATATTTGAGCACATAACAAGTGGACTTCAACCTTTCTCAAGTGGACTTCATAGCCTATTTGGACACTTTGATGTATATTGAATTACGGTAGTATTTTTTATTTTTTATGATGTATAATTATAGCACATGTATTTGGAGCAGTTTTTCTACACTTTTTGATTTCTATTATTACAACCTAATATTGGATGTGGGTTTAGTTGCTATGATAAATATCTCATAGTGGAGTTGCAGCTTCTTAATGGAGTTTGTTTTGACACATGACAAGCTAAATTTTTCTTCCTTTTTTTCACGATACAGATTTATCATGTCATTGGTGGATTAGTGATATAGTGTTCCTACTGGCTGTAATGCATATTTTGATTTTTATCTCTTGAATCTCAAACATTATTGAAAGAGAATATAAATACATATCTACTATTCTTTCCTTTATTCCAGGTATCCCATTTAATGATGTGTACTGTGCCAGTAAATTTGCAGTGGAAGGTTTCTGTGAAAGTCTGGCTATTGTTCTACAACATTTTAATGTTCAGTAAGTACATCACTTCTATTACTATAAAGTGTATTTGCATACAAATCAGCATCAAAATCTCTAGGTGCCTATAGGCATTAGATAATTATCACACGTAATCTGTGATTTTTAGTGGAAATGATCTGAATATCCGTACAAGCATATCTAGGGGAAATATGTTTTTTGCCTGCACATCATAGGTCTATTGCTTATAGTCCACCCTGGAAGTGACATGGCATGCTTCTTAAGAAATACTTATTACCCATATATGGTAACTCTTTTTTTTCCTGCCAAAAATTAGCAATTTTGTTCAGCCTCCAGTGATATTTGTTTACCTTTTGCTAAACAGCACATGCATGTGGAATATATTTGAACAGTGAATAGGCATAGCTGTTTTGCTAAATATCTTTAGCCAATAAGCACCCACAGCCTTTGAGTAACACAATATACTCCTAGAGCCAGCAATAAGTAATCAGGAGGAATCTACAGGCAGTCAAAAATGATGATGACCAGGTAATCAGTCCAGACCACAATGCAAATTAGCTATGGCAGCATTCAGAAAGACTCAGACTGGTGTTCCTGTACTATTTATGGGAAAGCAATGTTCTTTTATTACAATTGTTCAAAATTACCATACTAGACTCTTGTGCTTCCTATCACTGTTACCATTCAAAGTTTTTCTTGAAACACTAATCCCTTAAGGCTTCTATGGTTGCTTCTTTTAGGTGTTTAACCACTTGGCTACTGGGCGCTTATACCCCCTTCCTGCCCAGGCTAATTTTCAGCTTTCAGCGCTGTCACATTTTGAATGACAATTGCGCGATTATACAACACTGTACCCATATGAAATTTTTATAATTTTTTTTGAGACAGATAGAACTTCCTTTTGGTGGTATTTAATCACCACTGGGTTTTTTATTTTTTGCTAAACAAACCAAAAACTACTGAAATTTAAAAAAAAAAATGTTTTTCTTAGTTTTTGTTATAAAGTTTTGTAAATAAATGATTTTTCTCCTTCACTGATGTGCACTAATGAGGCTGCAGTGATGGGCACTGATAAGCTGCACTGATGGGCACTGATGAGGAGGCATTGGTAGGTGTCACTGATGGGCACTGACAGGCATCACTGATGGGCACTGAAAGGCTGCACTCATATATGGCACTGATAGGCAGCACTGCCTGGCACTGTTAGGTGGCACTGACTGGCACTGTTAGGTGGCACTGATAGGCAGCACTAACGGGCACTGATGCACACTGATGGGTGGTACTGATTGGCACTGACTGTCACTGATAGGTGGCACTGACTGGCATTGATAGGTGACACTGACTGGCACTGCTGGATGACACTGAAAGGCAGCTCAGATGGGCCTGATATGTGGCATTGATGTGCACTGGTAGGGACTGATATGTGGCATTGATGTGGCACTGATGGACACTGGCAGGTGGCATTGATGAGCACTGACAGCTGGCATTTATGGACACTGACAGGTGGCACTGCTGGGGCTACACTGATCATCAGGGCACAGTGATCATCAGTGCCCTGATGATCAGTGTACATGTTTCCTCTGAGGAATGACGAATACCAGCTCTCCACTCCTCACGAGCTGTCAGCGTCACAGCTCTTGAGGAGAGAAATGCCGATAACCGGCATTTCCCTATTTACATGCGTTCAGCTGTGATTGGACACAGCTGATCACATGACCGAGCTGACGTCTTGGGCTCTTTCATTTGATCGGTGATCCGCTGTGTCCGAGGGACACAGCGCACCACCGATTGCCGTGCTGCGCAATCCCTGGAGCCGGGAGGACGTCATATGATATCTTCCCAGAACAAGAGAATCGCCTTGCTCCCGTCATTTCCTTATATGGCGGGCGGGAGGCATTTAAAGAATGTTACCCCAACAAGTAATTTGCCTGATATGTGTCTATTGTACCATGTACTTGTGTTAAAAGTATCCTATTCTTTTTGCATTGCTTCCTTTGTGTGAAACACCTGGTGTTATTGCCAGTCCCCCTGCTTTCCTATTTCAGACTGACCATGCTATGTTTGAAAGCACATCCATCCAAGAATAATCAGTTTTCTGTCTGTGGTGGGAGAACAGCTTGCCTGTCCTCCAATGGCTAAGAATGATGCTGACACACACATCTGCACAGCGCTGGAAAGATCAATGTACTGCTATTTTTCCACCCCTAGCTCTCTAAGACCTTTATGCACCTGAAAACAGATATTATGTGATTACTTAAAAAAGGGAACATTTTTTCATATACAGTACTGTGAAAAAGTTTTAGGGAGGTGAGAAGAAAAGCCGTAAAGTAACAATACTTTTAAAAATATATATTTTAATTGTTTATTTTTACCAATTTACAAATGCAAAGTGAGCGAACAGAAGAAAAGTCAAAATCAACATTTGGTGTGACCACCCTTTGGCTTCAAACCAGCATCAATTCTTACACTTGCACACTTTGTACAAAAATTCAGGGATTTTGTAGGATGACAGTCAGGTGTATGATTAATCAGTTATACCAAGTAGGTGCTAATGATCATCAATTTCATATGTAGGCTGCAACACAGTCAATAACTGAAACATAAAGCTGTGTAGGAGACTTAAAACTAGGTGAGGAACAGCCAAACTCTGCTACTAAGATGAGGTTGTGGAAGACAGTTTCATGTCATAGTTCATACACCATGGCAAGACTGAGCATAGCAACAAGGTACAAGGTAGTTATACTGCATCATCAAGGTCTCTCCCAGGCAAGGATTTAAAAGCAGACTTGGGTTTCAATATGTGCTGTTCCAGCTCTTCTGAAGAAGCTCAAAGAAAATGGAAACGTTGAGGATTGTTGATGTGGTCGACAAAGGAAACGTAATGCTTCACATGAAAGACACATCATGCTTATTTCTCCTTCAATATCAGAAAATGTACATTACTGCCATCAGCACAGAATTGATGGAAACCAGTGGGACCCAGGTACACTTATCTACTGTCCGGAGAAGTCTGGCCAGAAGTGGTCTTCATGGCAGAATTTCAGCCAAAAAGCCATACCTACAATGTGGAAACAAGACTAAGTGACTCAACTATGCGTATAAACATAGAAACCGTGGTGCAGAAAATAGCAGCAGGTGCTGTGGACTGAAATTTAGAAGTTAAAAAAGTTAAATTTGAAATATTTGGCTGTAGCAGGAGGCAGTTTATTTTCAAGCAACAGTGAATCATGTGGAGGTTCATTGCAAGCTTGGAGCTGCATTTCTGCAGATGGAGTTGAAGATTTTGTTAGGATGAATGGTGTCCTCAATGCTGAGAAATACAGGCATATACATTTTCCATTATGCCATACCATCAGGGAGGCATGTGATTGGCCCCAAATGTATTATTTAGCAGGACAAACACTCCAAGCATACTGCCAATGTCATTAAAAACTATCTTCAGCACAAAGAAGATCAAGGAGTCCTGGAAGTAATGGTTTGGCCCCCACAGAGCCCTGATCTCAACATCATGGAGTCTGTGTGGGATGACATGAAGAGACAGAAGGATTTGAGGCAGCCTACATCCACAGACGATCTGTGCTTAGTTCTCCAAGGTGTTTGGAACAACCTACTTGCTGAGTTCCTTCTAAAACTGTGTGCATGTGTACCTACTGTAGATGAATCGATGCTGTTTTGAAGTCAAAGGGTGGTCAAATCAAATCACAAAAAAATTGAAAAAAGTACCATGCAATCCCACCAGATGCAGTGAAAATGAATTAGGTGGATGGGTAGCACACAGCATTGACATGTGTTCCCATGCCTCAACGCAAAAATATTAAAAATAAAAATGCAGCACTACCTTACTAACCTGTAAACTTGTGATTAAATGTTAGCAATAATGATGACACCCTCTTACATGGAATACCAGAATTAAACAATCAAAGCAAAATGAAGGAAATGAGAAAATCCTTAACATGTGATTGCACAGTAGCAATAATGGTGATGCCCTCCTGCATACAAAATCCTGCATTTATGCTGCTAATTACCCTTAGAACAACACGTACTCTCAATATATATCAATATCCGAGTAACTATAAATAAACAACTTGTCATCAACAACATTCAAGTCAAATATACTATGTTGCAAAATCAATAAACATGTAAGTGTAATATGTTCTTTAAAAAACAGTTCTCCTTTCAATATGATCTCTTAATCCTTAAACTAGTGAATTTGTAGCTTGTGAAGCACCGCGTGATATCGTCCACCATGTACGCTAGCAGCTCGCCTCCATATGTGTTAAAATAGGTCAGAAGTGCTTTTCCCCTTTAAATAGGGTTACCACCTCATCCCTTTAAAATCCAACATCACTTGCCCTCCAGAGGATTTACCCCCTTCCTGACCAGGCCATTTTTTTGCTATACAGCATTACTTTAACTGGCAATTGCGCAGTCATGCAATGCTGCACCCAAATGAAATTTATGTAAATTTTTCCCACAAATAGAGCTTTCTTTTGGTGGTATTTGATCACCTCTGCGTTTTTTAAATTTTTGTGCTATAAACAAAAAAGTACCGACAATTTTGAAAAAAAAAACAAACAATATTTTTGACTTTTTGCAATAAAACATATCCAATAAATTTTTTAAAAAGAAATCAAATTTCTTCATAAATTTAGGCCAAAATGTATTCCGCTACATGTCTTTGTTAAAAAAAATCCCAATAAATGTATATTAATTGGTTTATGTGAAAGTTAAAGCATCTCCAAATGGTGGTATATATATACTGGAATTTTTTTAATACTAGCAATGGCGGCGATTAGCGACCTTTAGCGGGACTGTGGTGGGCATTCTGACACTGGGGGGAACTGACTAACTGCCACTGGCATCCCCAGTGACGCTAATGAAAAGCACTGACACTGTAATAATGACACTGGGCAGCAAGGGGTTAACATCTGGGCATTGAAAGGGTTAAATGTGTGCTATTTTACTTGGGAGACATGCTGCTTTGTATCTCTCTGCTGTGACAGGAGAGAAACCTGTGTTATTTACATATAAGCAAAAAATGCAAATCACATATATATACGTATATATATACGTGATTTTGCATAGCCATGCTGCCCTGTAGCAGTACTTCTGTTATAGGGCGGATGGCAAGTGTTTAATTACACAGGTTCTGTGGCTGATTAACCACTTGCCCTCCTGAGGATTTACCCCCCTTCTTGACCAGGCCTTTTTTTGCTATTTGGCGCTGCACTATTTCAACTGGTAATTGCACGGTCATGCAATGCTGTACCCAAACCAAATTTACATCCTTTTTTTTTCACACAAATAGAGCTTTCTTTCGGTGGTATTTGATCACCTATGCACTTTTTATTTTTTGCACTCTAAACAAAAAAGACCAAAATTTTAAAAAAAAACCCAATATTTTCTACTTTCGGCTATAGAAAATATATAGTAAGCTTAAAGTTAGTCATAAATTTAGGCCAAAATGTATTCTGCTACATGTCTTTGGTAACAAAAATCCCAATAAGTGTATATTGATTGCTTTGTGTGAAAGTTATAGCATCTACAAACTATGGTATAGATACTGCAATTTACACCATTTTTTGCAAAACAGCGCTGCACTAGTTTAACTCACAACTGCACGGTCACTGTACATAGATAAAGTTTATGTCCTTTTTTCACACAACTAGAGCTTTTTTTTTGGTGGTATTTGATCACTTGTGCACTTTTTATTTTTCGCGCTATAAACAAAAAAGTATCAACAATTTTGAAAAAAAAAAAAACCTATATTTTTTTTTACTTTTTGCTGTAAAACATAGCCAATAAAAAAAAAATCAAATTTCTTTTTATAGACCAATCATTTTGAAAAAAAAACTACTTTCTCATTTCTGTCATAAGAAATATCAAAAAACTCAAATTTGATCATAAATTAGGGCCACAATGTATTCTGCTCATATTTTTGGTAACAAAAAATCCCAATAAGTGTATATTGATTGCTTTGTGTTAAAGTTATAGCGTCTACAAACTATGGAATAGATAATGCAATTTACACAGCTTTTACTTTCTGACTGCCTATCACATTTCTTGAGGTGCTAAAATACCAGGACAGTACAAACACCCCCAAATGACCCCTTTTCGGAAAGTAGACACCCTAAGCTATCTGCTGAGAGGCATATTGAGTCCATGGAAGATTAATTTTTTGGAAAATGACAAAAACATTTTTTTTTTACACAAAGTTGTCGCTTAAATGATATATTGCTTACACAAGCCATGGGTATATGTGGAATTACATATAAAATACATTCTGCTACTTCTACCGAGTATGGGGATACCACATGTGTGAGACTTTTTGAGAGCCTAGCCACATACAGGAGCCTGAAATCCAATGACCACTTTGAAAGCCTGAAGGTGCGTAACTTCCTCATTTCACTTCCTCACTACCTATCACAGTTTCAGAGGCCCTGAAATGTCAGGATAGCACCAAACCCCCCCCCAAATTACCCCTTTTTGGAAAGTAGACACCCCAAGAAATTTAAAAAAAGGCATGGTGGTGCATTACCTGACAGAAATGCAGGGGTGCCAATATATTTGACCATGACTGTATGTAACAGCAGAGAACATGGTCATATGATGAATCGGGTCTGTGGACCGATATAACCGCAATTAATTTTTTTTTGTAATGCCCATTTTGAAGGTTAGGCCCAAAAAAGTTACATGTGTAAACTGTGATAAGTTTCCATGCAAATTGTCTGGCAGTAGCTGAATTTGGGTGGGCATGATGTATTG